GCTGCAGGCTGCAGGGCTGCGAGGGAAGGGGAGGGGAGGGGAGGGGAGGGAGGCGTCGAGGGAATGCAGCCAAATGCAGCCCCGGCGGGGCGGGCGGCCGAATTGCCGGTTTGCCCCCAAAATTGTTGCTGCGTTCTCCTCGTCCTCGCCCACCTCGGTCGAGGCGGCCTACAGGCCCGGGCGGAGGTTGGAATGCCCGTCGGTGCACTGATAGAATGCGCTCGGCCATGGCTGCGCGTCACCACTGGAAAACCGGGATTCTTTTCCAAAATATTTCTACTAGTGCAGCGGTTCTCAACCTTTCTCGGCTCGCGACCCCAAATTTGTAGCCAAAAATTTCCGCGACCCCCAGGAAAAGTTTCGCGACCCCACGGGACCCCTCCTTTAGCATGCCACTGCGTCTGATCCGAGGCGGGCATTTTGCTCCCTCAACGGGCAATTGGTCTTTGGACCTTCCTTTAGCATGCCTCTGTTACGGAGTGCGATTATCAGTCTTAGTTTGGGAGCAGTATTGTCTCAAAGTTGGCCAAAACGCTCAGAAATGTCTTTAAAAAATCATGTTTTGGGTCGATTTTAAGCAGCCACTGCGTCTGATCCGAGGCGGGCATTTTGCTCCCTCAACGGGCAATTGTTCTTTGGACCTTCCTTTAGCATGCCTCTGTTACGGAATGCGATTATCAGTCTTAGTTTGGGAGCAGTATTGTCTCAAAGTTGGCCAAAACGCTCAGAAATGTCTTTAAAAAATCATGTTTTGGGTCGATTTTAAGCAGCCACTGCGTCTGATCCGAGGCGGGCATTTTGCTCCCTCAACGGGCAATTGTTCTTTGGACCTTCCTTTAGCATGCCTCTGTTACGGAATGCGATTATCAGTCTTAGTTTGGGAGCAGTATTGTCTCAAAGTTGGCCAAAACGCTCAGAAATGTCTTTAAAAAATCATGTTTTGGGTCGATTTTAAGCAGCCACTGCGTCTGATCCGAGGCGGGCATTTTGCTCCCTCAACGGGCAATTGTTCTTTGGACCTTCCTTTAGCATGCCTCTGTTACGGAATGCGATTATCAGTCTTAGTTTGGGAGCAGTATTGTCTCAAAGTTGACCAAAACAGGCACAGCGATTTTTCAAAGACATTTCTGAGCGTTTCGGCCAACTTTGAGACAATACTGCTCCCAAACTAAGACTGATAATCACACTCCGTAACAAAGGCATGCTAAAAGAAGGTCCAAAGACCAATTGCCCGTTGAAGGAGGACGAAATACCGCCTCGGGTCAGACGCAGTGGCTGCTTAAAATAGGCCCAAAACACGATTTTTCAAAGACATTTCTGACCGTTTTGGTAAACTTTGAGACAATACTGCTCCCAAACTAAGACTGATAATCACACTCCGTAACAAAGGCATGCTAAAGGAAGGTTCAAAGACCAACTGCCGGTTGAGGGAGCAAAATGCCCGCCTCGGATCAGACGCAGTGGCTGCTTAAAATCGGCCCAAAACACGACCCCAGCTACCTCGCCGCGACCCCTTAAAATTTTTTCGCGACCCCACTTGGGGTCGCGACCCTAAGGTTGAGAACCACTGTACTAGTGTACTCATATTTCTTAAGTAACTGTAAGGCTAGTGTGGTTTCAGAGAGTTGAACGTCGCGGGGGCCTGGGGGAGTGAGCGGGAAGGGTCATGTTGACTTTGGCCCCGGCAAAGCACCCGCCACTATAAAACCGCGCACGCTCCCCTTAATATGCCGGGTACGTGAACTCGCTCTGGGGTGCTATAGGGAGCCGCACTCGTCGTCACGGAGGAGGCAGTGCCAGGCAGCGTCACCCACACTGCGATATTTATGCTTCACTCGTGCCACGCGTGTCGTGGCAATAAGCTAACAACAACAGTAAAAGCATCCAAATAATTGCATCCCCTGGCCCTGCGCGCCCTGGGCCCTGCCCCGCCTGCCCGCCCCTCACAAAAAGGGATGTTTGGGAACGCTGCGCGGCATAGCGCTAGCATGTCGACGGCGAATTACGCCCTGGATGAGCGAGAGTTCACGACCTGGATTCCCCCGCCCCCCGCCCCCGCCAAGGCCCAGTTCTTTCTGAATGCTACCCCGTGCACATTTAGAATGACTTTCAGAAGCAAGAACACAAAAAAATATGGGCAAAAACGGGCGGACGCTGACGAAGCCACCGGCACCGCTGCTCTTGTGAGGTTGAGACTGTCGATCTCTCGAGGTTTATTCGATTAATTGGTTCACAAAACGCGAGGCACGTCTGTCCTTGTTAGTGAGACCACAGTCCCTTTTTTCCCGTTCCTACCCCACTCCTGATCCCCTTCAGCAACCTCGAGCCTCTTTCCCACCGCACACACACACACACACACACTCCCAGAAAACCGCACACTCACACAGACACACACACACACTCGCGCGCACGCGCGAAATGCACACAAACACGCACACCTACACACCCCTAATCAGCTACAGCGCTATAAGCATGTTGTCATTCCAAGGAGTATGGCTCTGCTATGAAGCTAACGAAGCGTGTGGTGACGTTAGCTTTACGTGCGCTCTCCTGCTTGTCTGTCCTTCCGTCTGTCTGTGTGTCCTTCGTCTGTCCGCCCGCCTGCATGTCTGTCTGCATGTCTGATTGTCCGACAGGTCGTCTCTAACAATCCCGCGCGTTTTGCTTTATTTAGGCCAATTTGGACTGCGATTTTTGTTGCCCCTTCTTCAACCCCTTGTTGTTGTTTTTTTACGTTTTTTTTTTCTTTTTTTAAGCATGTCTCTAACAACACATCCATCCTTCAGGACCATCCCCGTTTCCCTTCCCGTAACGTAATACGCGTAATGTGAAAATTATTGGTCCCACCGGCAACGTGGAGGGCGAACACACATAAACAAACCAGCACAAATACACGCGGACGCGCGCTCTCACACTCACACACACGCACACGCACACGCACACACACACACACGAGGATAAACGGAAGGCAGAGCGGGCGCAGACGAGCCAAACCAAGCACGGCTTACTTCATTCATAATACGAAAGAGTTTTTAAAAAAAACTTCTCTGGTATCTTTTGACAATTTGTATGCCTTAGCGTTCCGTACATACACACAACACACACACCGTAAAAAAACAAATCCACGAGTATAGAAAGGACACTGTGGCGCCACACTGACCTTATTACAATGGGAGAAAACACGAACAGCAGGTCACACGCGCGCCCTCTCATATACACACTTACCCTCACACCAAGGCGCACACACACACGCACACACCCACACACCCACACACACACACACACACACAGAGGCCGCGAAAGCAAACAATAATTCAGAGGCCCTTTAGTGCTCTCTTCAAAGCCCTCGGGACGAGCCCCGTCCTGGTGCGGCGGTGGACGGCACAGGTCGTCGCAGCACGCGGGGGGAGGGGAGGGGAAAAACGGCGAGTAGCCCTCTCACCGAAGTCCGGCCGGCATCGCACTACGGCTCACAGTGGGCCAGAAGAAAGCGGACAAAATCTGGGACGCGTTTTGAGCTCCAGAGTCGCTAAATGGGACTCGAACCGAACGTGTGACCCCACCAATGGATTCCTCGTTCGAAGAGCAATCCATGTGGGGTCACACGTTCGGTTCGAGTCCCATTTAGCGACTCTGGAGCTCAAAACGCGACCCGGATTTTTTCCGCCTCCACTGGTCTTCTGGCCCACTGTGCGCGGCCGGCAACGCGACAGGGTGGTCAAAGCACCGGCCGCCAACCCCTTGGCACCCTGGCGGGGCTGGCAGGCAGGCGGGGCTGGCCGAGCTGGCGGGCTGGCCGGGCCGGCGGGGGCACACCTCACGCACATCGCGTGTTTATGGCCACCCTGGGCAATATTATTCACAATTTCCACGTCGTCTTTCTCGCCGTCCGCCGATGCATGCCGTGGCGGTTGGCAGGGAGGGGGGGGGGAGAGGCGGGTACCCCCAGGATGCCGTACAGCTTGTGAAGTTTGTTAGTTTCGGAGGCACAGAGGAAGGCAGTGGAGATGTGTGTGAGTGTGTGAGTATGTGAGTGAGAGTGTGTGGACTACCCGAATTGTAAGAGGAAATTAGCTGCTCTCTGAGAACTCGCGTCGGTTTCGTGCGTAAAATAAAATCAAGCTCAACAGTTTTATTCAAATGAAACGTCTTTGATTTATTGATTTGATGGAGGCGTACATTTGGTGGGTGAGACATCTCGGTAAGGCAAAGTCTCTGATAGGTCTTACTGCGTTGAGCGTCGCGTCTCACTTACTCTGTGCTCTACATAAACCTATTACCTCAAGAGTTGGCGAGAGCCTGGAACGCCTTGTTCGCCGCGAGCTGCTCCATGAACTGCTTGATCTCCTTGCTGCGGTACTGGTGCGCCAAGTGGAGGCTGAGGTAGGCCTGCGTCCTGGCCGGCACGGCGGCCCACGGCACCGGGGCGGCGGCGGCCGGCGTCTCCCTGCCGGCCGTCACCACGCCGTCGTTGCCGGGGCTGCCGTTGTTGTAGGTGGGCAGAGGGGGTGGGGGCTCGTCCTGGCCCTTGTTGGCGAGGGCGACGGCCCCTGCGACGGCCCCGACGATGGCGATGCCCCCGAGGATGAACAGGCCGATGGCTCGCTTGCGCCGCGGCCCCGTCGCCGCGCGTCTGTCCCCGCCCAGGCCGCCGCGGCCCCCGCTGCCCTCCTTGCCGGGCAGGGCGGACACGCGGATGTTGACGGGGGAGCCTCCGACGGGCACGACGAGCACCCTGCCGCGCGAGCCGCCGAACCCGCCGGCGCCACCGTCACCACCACGGCCGCCGTCACCACCGCCGGACGCGCCGGGGCCTCCGTTGCCGCCGCGCTGTCCGTCGCCGCCGCGGCCGCCGTTGGCGGTCACGCTTATCTTGCCGACAACCTCGGCGACGACGGCCAGGAAGCTGCCGCCGGGGAGGCCCGGTAAGCCGGGTCGGCCGTCCGTGCCGCGCAGCCCGCCGCGGCCGGCCTCGCGAGGCACCCCCGGGGGGCGCGGGCCGGGCAGGCCGTCCAGGCTGACGGTGGGGTGGCCGACCGCCTCCAGGCGCGGCGCGACCACCACAAGGTGCACCCCGGGGAGGGTCACGTCCACGTCGACGAACACGGTGTAGGTGGCGTACACCTCGAGCACGCGCAGAGGCATGCTGCCGGGGCAGGTCGTCCGCGCGGCGGCCGCGGCCTCGGACAGCAGGACGGACTCCCCGCGCACGACGACGCGGCCGCCCGGCAGGCACTCGAAGCTGGGGCCCTGGCTGGCCATCTCCAGCAGCGCGTTCAGCTCCGTCAGGTTGGCGAACGGCGACTTGAGGTCGGTGGCGACGCCCAGCTTGACCACCTCCAGCTCGAAGTGGTGCGCGTTGTGCGCGCCCACTGGCGGGTGCCTCACGTTTGCCTTCCTCGGCTGGAACAAAAGAAGTCTCCAGTGCAAGGCTCTCGTGGTGGGCAGAAAGCCGGAACATCGCTCACCTGCAGCGCGTCGTACTTGTTGAGGCGGTCGTGTATGGCGACGAGGAAGCGCTGCCAGTCCCGGTGCGCCTCGAGGACGGCGGCGGCGTCCTGGACGGGCTGCACCCACTGCACGCCGAGCGTGGCCGCGTCCACGAGGGGCTTGTCGCCCACCACCTGCAGCACGTCGAGCTGCTGGCAGGTGGCCGCCACTTCCACCGCGCGTGACCGCTCCTCCGGCTGGACCATCTGGTCCACGACGCGGCCGCAGAACTCCTGCACGCCGGCGCTCTGCTTGAGGTGGGCGGCCACGCCGCGCACGCGCTGGGCGGCCTCCGTGAAGCGGGCCTCCCTGGCGGGGACGTCGGCGGCGACGCGTGCCTCCCTGGTGCGGCCCGCCTGGATGGCGGCGCCCAGCGCCGACAACTTGGACACGATCTCGGAGGACAGCTCGCGCGCGCGCTTGTAGGCGAACACCTTGGTGCGGTCCGAGACGGCGAAGCCGAAGTCCGCCGGCTGCACGCGCGAGTACTTGATGTTGTGCTTGACGAGCTCCAGCAGCGAGTCCCGTCCCCGCTCCATCAGGTCCAGCTCGCGCAAGGAGCCCTCCTCGTCGGGGCTCCGGAATACGCCGAGGCGAGTGTAGGCTCTGCGAAGAGAAAGAGGCGAAATTACAACCAAACGACCTCAGCGCCGACCACGGCGGCACCTTCTACTGACCCGTTCTCTTTGGTGATAAGCACGTTGATGATCTCGGCAGCGCGCGAGTACAGGTCCCTGTCCTCGCCGCTCCGGGCAATGTTCTTTAAGAAGGGGAGCACGTCCTCGCGGAGGAAGTCAGCCGTCGCGGCCTTGACGTCGTCCTCGGGCGTGGGCTCCCACTCGTCGCCGACCTGGACGTAGCCGCTGACCTTGGTCACCACCAGCGCCAGCGAGTCCTTGACGGCAGCGACGTTCCGGAAGATCTGCGCCGCGTTCTTCAGCATCATGAGCAGGTCGGAGCGGTCCTGGCCGCGCTGCACGGCGAAGTGCGGCGTCAGCAGCAGCACCTACACCGCAAACATTGAAAGCGGGTCCTGTGTCCTGCAGCAAGCATGTCGAGCCAGCTCGAACCTTGACTCGGCGCGCGTGGCGGACGATGTCCTTCATGTAGTACGTGGTGGACACCTCGACGCAAGAGCCGCGGGTGTCCTCGAAGCCGGGGCAGTCGAAGTAGTGGATGCCGTCCTTCTTGTTGGTCATCAAGTCCGGGACCTGGAGCAGCACGCGTTCAAAACGCCCGAATCGAACGTGTGACCCCACCAATGGATTCCTCATTCGAAGAGCAATCCATTGGTGGGGTCACGTGTTCGGCTTGAGTCCCATTCAGTGACTCTAAAGCTCAAAACACGTCCGGGAATTCGACCGCCTCCACCGGTCTTCTGGCCCACTGTGCGGCGCGCACCTGAGTGACGGAGGCGATGGAGCTGCCGATGCGGCTGCCGTTGATGAGGAAGTCGGCGCCGTCCAGGACGGCCTTCATGTCCTCGTCGTGGCGCGACAGGTGCTTGGTGAGCGTGGACTTGCCGCAGCCCGTGTTGCCCATGACCAGCACCACCTCGTCGGGGACGGACAGCCGCTCCGTGGGCGGGCTGCACTTGTTCAAGTCCTCGCACTGTGCACACAGCAGGCACCGCCAGCATTCAAAGCACCGCAAGAAAGCAACACTTTTAAAATCTCACAAAATAGGCTTTCGCAAAGAACTTGGTGTAGTTCTACTACAGTTTGCAATGTGTTCCCTCCTCAAAATGTTAGGTTAGGATTTGACAGTGGCGGAGTGACTCACCGGCTTCCCGCGGGGCCCCCGCACTCGGACACGGCCTTCGGCGGCGCTCCGTTCCCCACCGCGAGCAGCGCCACTGCAACGAAGACAAGACAGTCGTCAGGCTGAGACAGGCACACGCAAGGCGGGACGAATCTCCTGTCAGCAGCCTGGTTTCCTTCGTTCCCTCTTTGCTTGCCATCTTCAACTGTCAACTTGAGCGAGCAAAGTTTTCTTTCGGGCTCAATCACCGAAATAGCAAGGAAATCGGAAATCAGAGAAAAAAACGGTTTTCGCTCGAATGAATCAGCCAGGTTTTGCGTTTTAAACTTACAGAGCAGTGACATTCGAAGACGACGCATGTTGGTTCGGTCCGAGCTGAAGCAGGGACGGGCCGAGACTGGCGGCAGTGACGTTGCCTTGGCGTGGCCGTCAGCGCGGCGGGCAGGCCGGGGTCACAGGCCACGAGATACCCGGGGGCCTATGGGGTCGCAGCACAACGAGGAAGACTGCAGTGAGCTACAAACATAAGTCGAAGGCGCCGACGCCGGCACAACCAGTGGAGGAGACTGTATTCCCCGCAATCCGCAACCACCTTCGAACCGACAACCGGCCAACCACTCACCCTAAGGCAGTGGTTCCTAACCTTTTTCGGTTCGCGACCCTAAATTTGTAGCCAAAAATTTCCGCGACCCCCAGGAAAAATTTCGCGACCCCAGGCGACCCCTCCTTTAGCATGCCTTTGATACAAAGTGCGATAATCCGCCTGAGTTTGGAAGCAGTATTGTCTCAAAGTTGATCAAAACGGTCACAAATGTCTGTGAAAAATCGTGATTTGGGCCGACTTTAAGCAGCCACTGCGTCTGACCCGAGGCGGTATTTCGTCCTTCCTCAACGGGCAATTGGTCTTTGGGCCTTCCTTTAGCATGCCTTTGTTACGGAGTGTCATTATCTGCCTTAGTTTGGGAGCAGTATTGGCGCAAAGTTGATCAAATCACGATTTTTCAGACATTTGTGACCGTTTTGATCAACTTTGCGGCAATACTGCTCCCAAACTAAGGCAGATAATCGCACTCCGTAACAATGGCATGCTAATGGAAGGTCCAAAGACCAATTGCCCGCTGAGGAAGGACCAAATACCGCCTCGGATCAGACGCAGTGGCTGCTTAAAGTCGGCTTAAAACACGATTTTTCAAAGACATTTATGACCGTTTTGATCAACTTTGCGGCAATACTGCTCCCAAACTAAGGCAGATAATCGCACTCCGTAAGAAGGCATGCTAAAGGAAGGTCCAAAGTCCATGCCCGTTGAGAGGACGAAATACGCTCGAATCAGACCAGTGGATGCATAAAGTCAGCCCAAAACACGATTTTTCGCAGACATTGTGACCGTTTTGATCAACTTTGCGGCATTTAAGCAGCCAGTGCTCGGCGTGCGCCATGGCAGGACCCCGCGTAATTCCCGCACCCTCGAAATTTCCGACCCCTTTGCGACCCAAGTGGAACCCTGCCCTAAGGACATAAAAGCGTATTTTTTTTAAACCAGTTGAAATGTCCTTTGTCATTCCCTCCACGTCAAACGCTATTTATCAAACGCTGTTAGTGCTGACTCAAACCTGTCGATTATGTCTTTGCCCCCTGACCCATGCGCAGGCTCCACAGTCTCAAACACACACATGGACTCTCACACACACACACAAACACACGCACACACGCACTCGAGAATTACTTTCCACGCCGAATAGTGTTGAGGCCACGTCTCTCCATTACTCCTCCATTTCCAGGGGATTAGTTCCGTGTTCCAGGGCGGCCGGGGTGGCCAGGGTGGCCACCACCACCACCAGGCGGCTGCCTCACGCCGAAGAAGGGCAATAAGAGAAAAACTTGGCGAGAATTTATCGGCGTGATATTGCCCCGCCTGCCTGCAGCGCGCCCTGCAGCCCCGACCTGCACCAAAACGCGTGCGCGCGTGGTGTGGAGCAACTACGCGCCCCTACACGCCTGCGTGAGCGGCTCGCAGTTCGCGGAGAGGAGTCTGTATATTATTCACAACTTACCCTTTACACTTTTGGATCCTTCCCGCTCCCATTTCTTTTTTTTTCGGCCCCACCGCAGCACATCCTTGCCGGCCGGAAGCAGGCAGGCCTACACCCCTTTCTGGCGGAGGGCGCGGCTAGACGCTGGAGGGCCTAATGGACATATTAGTTATGCATTAGGCGGCAAAGTGATCTGAGTCTTGTCCGGCGCCGCCCCGAGACAACCCGACACCGCCCGGGGATCATTCCACATCGAGGGGCTCTCCTGGCCGTCCCGTACGATTAGTCGACTAGTCGATTAGCGTGGGTGCTGAGCATCAAAAGTAGAGGGCAGAGCGCAGTGGGCCGCCAGAAGACCGGTGGAGGCGGCCAAAACTCTAGACGCGTTTTGAGCTCCAGAGTGGTTTAACAGGCCTCGAATCGAGCCTGTGACCCCACCAATGGATTCCTCGTTCGTAGAGCAATCCATTGGTTGAGTCACACGTCCCGTTCGAGTCCCATTTAGTGATTCTGGAGCTCAAAACGCATCTAGAGTTTTGGCCGCCTCCACCGGTCTTCTGGCCCACTGTGCAGTTCCAGCCCGGCGTCCGTCCATCTCGGGTTCAACGCCCTCTGACATCCACTGTTTTCCTAATGCCTGTCAGATTTCGCCTCGCTGCAAAATTTTCGAAGCGAGCGAAAGTGGCGGGGGTCCGCCACCGAGGCGCCCCGACCGCCGTCTAGGGGAGACTCTTGGCGCCGCTGATGGCGGCGTGTTTGTGAAATATGCAGCACAGTTCCAGTGCCGGGGCTTAGAGCGGAGGCTCTGTTGTGAAAGGGCAAAGGCCCGGGTGTCGCCGCGCCGCCTGTTGCGCCTCTATTAGTTAGCAACAGCCACATGCACCTGCTCGAAGCGCGTCAGCGCGTCTCGCCGACAGGCGGGCGGACAGACGGGCAGGCAGACAGACAGGCAGGCAGCGGACCGACGGGCAGTCGGACAGGTAGACAGGCGGACGGCTGGTACGTGTGAACAGCCCCCACGTGCTTGAGGGGACTTTTTCTCCATCCCTTACTCTCTTATTGCCGTTTTTCCTCGTCCCGCGTTTGGCTAGAGGGAGAGAGAGAGAGACATCAGTGTCCTAGACGGCCACAGGGTGGCCAAAAAAGCCGCAGCACGTCGCCGCCAGACAACATGTTACCGTTGCCACTTTTCAAGTCGGGACGTGATCTAATAACCGACACTCTAAAACGGATAAAAAAGGGCAGGGACGGTTTTTTTGGTTTTGTTTGTTTTTTGTTACTCGCGGAGTCCTTTTGTAACGGCGACTCCCGGTAAGCACGCTGGAAAAACCGCCGATAGCCGCTGCCTCCCCCTCCCCTCGCCGGGGGGCTGGCCTCCCGAGCCTCCGGGCCTCGGGTGGGGTCACCTGGGGGTCGTATCGGCTAGCGATGCTCTAACGACACACGTAACAGCGCGTTTGCTGCCGAGCCGAGCCGAGCCGGCCACGCCCGAGCCCGGCCGAGCGCTGCCGAGCCGTGCCGAGCCGAGCCGAGCCGAGCCGGGCCGTGCCGAGCCGAGCCGGGCCGAGCCAAGCCGCCCCCAGCCACAATCACTCTGATGGAGCCGGCGAGGGCGGGCGAGGCGTCGGAGGGCCAACCAAGCGACCGGCCCGGACGGCTACGCAGGCCGCTCCACGCCGCCGGGCCCAGCGGCCCTGCGTCTCACCGCCGAGCGCTTCGAGGTGATCCTGGGGGAGACGAAGCACGCCCACACACTGCCAACACGGTAAACCAACTTCCCGGCTTCCGAATCACCCAAAACTGTCCCTCATTTCCGAACATACGACTCAAAGTCGGTGCGCGCGAACGCCAGCCGACCACAGTCGGGACCTTTCTGTTTTGTTTTGTTTTTGTTTGTTTTGTTTCTATGTTGTTGTTTTCCGCCTTGGCGCGCTCGTCGCGGCGGGGCATTTTTCTCGCGTGCATCCCTTCGCTTCCCTATCAGCGGTACGGGCTGCGTATCGAGTTGTATCACGCAGATTGGTTTTTTCCTCGCTCGAGCGGCGAGGCGGGGCGCGGCGGGGCGGGGCGGGCGGGCAGGGCGCGGCGCCGCCGGAGTAGAAGGTCCCCCGTGAGCTCTGAGCTCGGCTTCCTGAAATGCGCCGCCGAACCAACAGATTTGTTTCCTCCATTCGAATTTCCCGCGCGCGCGAACTCGCAGCTTCCGCGCCTTCCGCCTTTGTTTACACTGTATACACGGCGCTCTGGGGATTACTTGGCTGGCGCCCGCTGGCGCACGCCTCGCCGCGCCCTGCAGCCTGCATTGCGAGACCATTGTGATCGGCGGCCAAAGACAAAAAACACTCAAACATTTCAGATCAAATTTTTTTTCCCCCAAGTTGATCTGTTTTTATTTTTAAAAATAGCACGAATATGACAGTTTTAAAAAATAGACCGATAGTAATCGAAGACTAAAATTTAGTCCATACCCTATGTTTTGAGGTTGTGATGAGTTTTTTTACGGTTTGGGCGAATATTATCGTGTCTGCGTATATAGTAGTGTGAGCAGTCTGAGGCTCCATCCCCACCCCTATCTCCCAGACATGCGCACACACTCACACACACTCACTCACACACACACACACACACAAACGCTGGCTCCGCTTGCCTTGCCCGACAAAGGTGAGGCTGTCGCCGACGTGTGAGGATCATATTTTGCCACATAACGACGAAACAAGCGAAGAGCTCGGCTGCAGCGCGAATAGCAGCAAAGCAGGGAAACCGGATCCCGGTCGAGGTCGTCTTACTCGCAGGTACCCAGCCAGCCTGCCGCACCGCGCGCTTCACTCCCAAGTACCCCTTCCCTTATTTCCGCTTTTAAGTCACTTAAAAATACCTCTTCAAGATGTTGATCCTTTCATGAAGAGGTTAAAAGCTTTCAAGAAAAATTATAATCAATAGAAATGTTGAGACATTTAATGAGGGACTCCAATTTCGTGCGCCAGAGCACTAAGCTTTATTCTTTTCTGCAATGTGTTGGTTTGTTTTTGTCCCCCCCCCCCAAAAAAAAATGAAAGATTAAAAATTGGGAGGGTGCGCTAGAGGTGCCATGGGACCAGGCCGAGCCCGGACGGCGTTCGCTGCCTAATGATAATACTACACCCCACCGACAACAACAAGGGCAACAACAACAACACTGTGCCTTGTGAATGGCCGGCCGGCCTCCTCCCCGGGGACGGCGGCCGGGTGGCGTGAGCGGCGCGTCGGGTATCGATGCCGTGCCGGGGAGCCGCACCGCCACGGCATGGCCACGGCATGGCCACGGCCCCGTCATCAGCCGGCCCAGCACAGTGGGCCAGAAGACCGGTGGAGGCGG